CGGCCGCTGCAGCCCCCCGGGCAGCGGGCGCTTTCTCAGGGGAGGGCCGCCACTGCGGTGATGATGGCGGCCTCGGCGCAAGGAGTCTCGGACACTGGCGTCGCGCGCGACGTCCTGCCCCTCCCGCTGGGCGTGACGCTCGACGAGCTGCTGCACGGTGCGGCGGCACGCCTCCTGCCGCACGGCGGCGGTCGGCGCGGGCGGCAGCGCAGGCAGCAGGAGGTCTGGCTGCGCGAGGGCATCGCTGCGCTGAACGACCTCGGTGGGCGCGGGATGGACGCCCCCGCGGGGGCCCCTGCGGCCTGCCAGGTCACCGCCGTGCGGCGCCTCGCACAGCTCTACGGCAGGGTGGAGCCGCCGCCGTCCGACCTGACTCCCCTGGGGGCGTGGCAGACGCTCCAGGCTTCGCGGAACGGCTATGCAGACGTCATGGCCGAAGGTGCTTCGACAACTTACAGGAAGGGGGCCATGGCGCTCCCGCGGGCTGCGGCGGGGCGGGTACGGCTTGCTGACGTCCTGCCGCCGCACCTGCAGTCTCTCTTGTGTAACTCGTCGCAGATGTTACGAGAGCCGGAGGCTCGCAATTTTGCTTTGGGTGAGGCTCCCAGGGTCTGCGCCATGGACCCAGTGTTGCAGCGGCATGGCTACCAGTATGGCGAGTGCCTCTCCGAGCTGCTCTCTGCGGGCATCATTGAGCCTGCGGCCGAGGACAGCATCATCGAGCGCGCCGGCATCTTTTTCGTCCCTAAGAAGGACTCGTCGCTGCGGCTGATCTTCGACACCAGAAGGTCTAATGCCCATTTCCAGGACCCCCCCTACACGCTGCTCGCGAGCGGGGAGGCCCTGGCGAACTTGGAGGTCGACGCTGCTGGAGGGATTGCTGTGGCCTCTGGTGACGTCGAGTGCTGCTTTTACCAGTACGAGCTGCCGCCGTGGGCACGTGCCTTCTTCGGTCTGCCAGCGGTCCAAGCCCGTTTCTTGGATTCGGCAGCCCGCCAGCGCCTGGGGGTTTCAGACCCTTCGGAGATGATCCACTTCGTCGCCAGAGTGGTCCCCATGGGCCGGTCGTGGGCCGTGCACCTCATCCAAGAGGCCCATGCCCATGTCCTGAGCAACATCAGCCCGGACGCGCCCTGGATCGCAGACAAGGCGCCCACACCTGCGCTGGGGACTCAGTGCGCCACCGCCAAGATGCTGCACATCGACAACGTCGCAGTCTTCACGTCAGGCGGCGGCGACCCCGCGCTGGAGGTGGAGCGCATGCTGGCCGCCCTGGGCGCGCGGGGGATTCAGGCTTCCTTTGGCCACGACGATGGGGACATGCACACCCTGCTCGGCTTCGTGCTCCACAAGCCCTCGGCCACGTGGCGCCTGTCGCACAGCAAGTTTTGGCGGCTGAAGTTTAGCCTCGATTTTGTATTGGCACCTGGACGTCTTGTCACGGGGCGCGAGCTCGAGAGGCTGATGGGCCACATCACCGCGGCTGTCATGCTGCAGCGGCACATGCTCTCGCTCTTCCATGCGATCTACGAGTTTCGCAGGCGGTCGCGTGACAAGCGGCAGCCTCTCTGGTCGTCGGTGAAGCGGGAGCTCACGTGGTTCAGAGCGCTGCTTCCCTGCGTAACCGTTTCGCTGAGCCGCCCCTGGTGCGAACGGGTCACCGCCACGGACGCCTCCCCATGGGGGTTCGGCGTGGTGGAGCAGCCGTGGCCCATCAGTGATGTTCGGCGAGTTGGCAGTCTTTCGGAGCGCAGTCGCTTCAGAGGAGTCCTGACGGCGGATTATGCCCCCAGGGACACGCTGGTCGAACAGCAGCTCCTCCACGCCACGGCGGACGAGGTCACCGCGGAGGGCACCCTGACCCACTTTGAGGAGGCACCGGCAGCGCGGCTCTTGGCAGACCCTTGGTCGGTCGCGGCCGCCCGTCGCTGGCGGCGGGCCGCAGCCATCCGCGTCCTGGAGGCTGAGGGGGCGCGCTGGGCCGTGCGGCGCCTTGCGCGCAACTCGCAGCTGCATGGACATCGGCACCTCATCCTGGGTGACAACCTCGGGGTGGTCTGCGCGTGTGAAAAGGGCAGAGCTGCGCACTTTGCACTCAACGTCGTCTGTCGGGAGATCTGCGCTATCTCAGTCGCCTCTGGGATGCAGCTCAGGTTCAGGTGGATCCCATCAGAGCTCAACCCTGGCGACGCTCCCTCTCGCAGGTTCATGCCAGGCGCGAGGAAGCACCATGTTGTCGGACAGTGCAGCACACTTCCAGGCCTGGAGGAGATCGGCACACCTCACGCTGGGCCTCTGTCCGGAGACATCGGCTCGAGGGAACACTACCATGCCAACGACGGTCTACTCGGTCAGCCCCGCCTACGGCAAGCCCGCCCGCGATGCAGCGGAGCCCAAGCCGGCGCCGACCACCCGGCGCGCCTCCGACTGGCGCGGCGGGCACGGGCCGCCAGGCCCTTCGGGCTCCCGCCGGGGCTGGACATCCCATGCGCCGCTTAGCGACAGGCCCGCAGAGGGCTGCTCGCGGCGGGCGCTGCTGTCTCGGCGGCGCTCGCGACTGGCGGCGCGTCGGGTGCGACACATCACCGTGCGTTCGTACCTGCTGGTGCTGATCATGCGCTCGGGCTTGCCGCGGCTGCTGGCGCTGCCAGGCTTGTTCCCCGCGCAGTCGGACGAGACGCTGGTGGACTACTCCGAGTGGGCCGTCGACCGCGGCACGGGTCAGGAGACGTCCTCTCGCACCCACTGTGCCGTGGCTGGGGGCGAGCCCGCGCTGGGAAGGCCCGTTCGGTGCCGCTGTCCCCCGGCGAGCGCGTCGCTGTCGGGCGGGACGCAGCGCCCGTCGGGCCCCTCCCGCCAGCCGCTGCCGCGGGCGCCTGCGCGCGCGATGGCGGCCGTGCTGGCCTCGCGGGGGAAGCCAGACCCGGGGCGGTGCGTCTTGGTGGCGTACGATCTGAGCCCGTCGGAGACCACGATCTTGCTGGCCATGCAGTTTCTGCCAGGCGGGTGCAGAGTGGTCGGAGGGCGGCAGCAACCCCTCCTGCTACTGCACCCAGAGGGACTTACTACCAGCTCCAGGACGGGCGAATTCGACTCCACAGTGGGGCTCGACCTTCACCGACGGCACTGGATTGGGCGCGCGGTCGGGCGGCTGCAACTGCTTCGTCTCGGAGAGGAGCTGCTGTTCGTGAGCTCGCACCTGCAGCGCCTGGCCGACTTCCATGTTGCTTGTCAATACCTCAAGCTCGAAGGTTTGGACTGCTCGCCGCACTTCCGAGGGCACGGCGACGCGACACACGTCTGCGTTGCAGGGTACCGCGCACCGCTGGAGGTGCGGAGGCGAGAAACGTGGAGGGCGACTTCACCAGTTCAGAGGTACGACAAGGCCGGTTGGCGGGCGGTGGTCAGGCAGGCCCCCAGCAGCGCCCAGAGGAGGAGCTGCGAGATCCGGGCGATGGCCGCCCCGCAGCTCTTCGGCAGCGCCTACGTGCTGCCCTCCGCGCCGGCCGCCTTGGCGAGCGGCGGGCGTTCCTGGATCTCTTCTCAGGCTCGGGTGGCCTCGCCGCCGAGTTAAAGAAAAGGGGACACGCTGTGGTTTCAATTGACGTTCTCCTGGGCCCAGAGTGCGACTTGCTGCAAGATGATGTTTCCCGCGCCCTTCGAGGCTGGCTTGAGTCTGGTATCATATGGGGCATGTTTTCAGGCAACCCTTGTGAAAAATGGTCACAGGCTCGCGGGGCCCCGCCTCACAGTGCGATGCCTCGACGCTTGCGAACGAAGGAGCACCTGCGAGGCCTGCCAGGCCTGGAGGGCGCCGACTATCACGATGTTGTTACCTCGAACAAGTTGGCTGACAGAGTTGCACTCTTGCTAGGCATCGCCCTGAGACGACAGCTGCCAGCTGGAGAGGAAAATCCCGCATCTAGTCTGCTGTGGCTGCTCCCCAGCCGCCAGCGTTTTCACTCTCATGCAAATGTCCAGACTGTTGTCTTTGACTATTGCGGTGCTGGCCGTCCTTTTGAGCTATACACATGGCACTGTAAAGGTAGGGGTGTTTGCACGTTTTCGGGCAAGCCGCACCTGGTTCTCTCTGGTAAGTCCAAGGCCGGCTTCCTTACTCATCTTAAAGCTTCCTACCCCCCGCGTCTGTGCTCCGTGCTCGCTCGAGAACTTTCTCACAGCTATTTGTCTCTGCGGGCGACCCGCCTGTGGAATTTGATGCGGTAATCCAGTACATTGCTTGAAGACGGGGTGTATTTATGAGGATGGGTTGTGTGGGACAAACTGCCCACATGACATGTTGTCTTCGCCTCAGCATTTCTCTGGAAAATAAGAATGAACATAGCAGCGCACGGTATTGTTCATTGCATGCGTCCGCTTCACTCGCTCTGTAGCCATCGCTTCTGCCCTCGCCAGCCCAAAGCTTCTTTAATTGTTACGTTATCTGCGGGTTGTGTGGGACAAATTGCCCACATGACATGTTGTCTTCGCCTCAGCATTTCTCTGGAAAATAAGAATGAACAAAATGTATGTTCGGGTCCCCCCGTCTGGACACCCTCTTGGAGACGTCTTAGGGGGCCGTCTTGCGATTCTCCCGGGCAGTGTTGCGGCCCTCTTGGAGGCTTCCTGGGCCGTCCTGGAGCCCTCGCAGGGGCCATTTGGAGGCCTCTTGGGACGTTTTGCGGGCATCATGGGCCGTCTGGAGGCCATGTTGGACCGTTGTGGGGCCCTCTTGGCCCCTTTGGGAGCTTTCTGTCCCCCCATGGTGCGTTCGTGCCGGGGTCGTCTGGCCCGAGGTCGAATTCCCGGTTTGGGGGGCCAGAACGGGGATTACGGGGGGGGAGAATCTCACACGCCTAGAAACCCACAAGGGGTCGACGTTTTTCCAAATAAAATGTTGAAAATTGCAAGGGATGATAAGGAAGAGGAGCATCCAGGAAGTATCGAAAGATCCTGGGACCTGTGTCGATGTTTGTTGGTGTCTCCCGGGGCCCCCTGAGGATCCCAGGGAGCTGGGGCGGCCGGTGCTGCTGGTCGGGAACCACCAGCTCTTCGCCCTCGACCTCGGGCCGCTCGTGCGCGAGTTCCTGGTCGAGAAGGGTTTCACGCCCCGAGGCAGGGCGCGCGAACTCGCCCCAGCCCCCAGAACTCGGCACCGTCTGACCTCGCCCCGTCCCCATCGGTCGAGCAGGAGATCGACTGTAGAATTGATGTGTTAAGTTTAAAAGTGCTTGTTCCACTGAATATTTACGTTATATATATATATAAAAAGTAGTAGTAGTACTAGTAGTAGTAGTCGTAGTAGTAGTAGTAGTAGTAGTAGTAGTAGTAGTAGTAGTAGTAGTAGTAGTAGTAGTAGTAGTAGTAGTAGTAGTAGTAGTAGTAGTAGTAGTAGTAGTAGTAGTAGTAGTAGTAGTAGTAGTAGTAGTAGTAGTAGTAGTAGTAGTAGTAGTAGTAGTAGTAGTAGTAGTAGTAGTAGTAGTAGTAGTAGTAGTAGTAGTAGTAGTAGTAGTAGTAGTAGTAGTAGTCGTAGTCGTAGTCGTAGTCGTAGTCGTAGTCGTAGTCGTAGTCGTAGTCGTAGTCGTAGTCGTAGTAGTCGTAGTCGTAGTCGTAGTCGTAGTCGTAGTCGTAGTCGTAGTCGTAGTCGTAGTCGTAGTCGTAGTCGTAGTCGTAGTCGTAGTCGTAGTAGTAGTCGTAGTAGTAGTCGTAGTAGTAGTAGTAGTAGTAGTAGTAGTAGTAGTAGTAGTAGTAGTAGTAGTAGTAGTAGTAGTAGTAGTAGTAGTAGTAGTAGTAGTAGTAGTCGTAGTCGTAGTCGTAGTCGTAGTCGTAGTCGTAGTCGTAGTCGTAGTCGTAGTCGTAGTCGTAGTCGTAGTCGTAGTCGTAGTCGTAGTCGTAGTCGTAGTCGTAGTCGTAGTCGTAGTCGTAGTCGTAGTCGTAGTCGTAGTCGTAGTAGTAGTAGTAGTAGTAGTAGTAGTAGTAGTAGTAGTAGGAGTAGTAGTAGGAGTAGTAGTAGGAGTAGTAGTAGTAGCAGGAATCATAATACTACTAATACTGATACAACAATAAAAATAATAATCATCATAATAATCGTCATGATCAGCATCATCACCACCAGCATCATCATCAGGATCATCATCCTCATTTTCATCATCATCACAATGATTATAACTGTAAGGTTTGTAGATATGCGAAACATCGATTTAGTTGCTGTAGATTCCACGTCAAACATCTGGGGTAAATGAATCATGCAGACGATCTTCTATTCGAATTGGACAATTGCATATCAGTCCCACAAGCCCTCCCTCCCAGGGAGATAGGCCCCGCGAAGCCCGAGGGGAACAGGCACATACATGCAGACATGCATACATACAGACGTGCATACATACATCCGTAGGCCCATACAAATACAGAGCGGGAGGGAGAGAGAGAGAGAGAGAGACAGAGAGAGAGAGAGAGAGAGCCCGACCCAGGGCGGGAAGTCGGCCAAGTGGGACCAAGGCCCTGCCAGTGCGGGGAGGGGCCGGTCAGACGGTGCCCAGAGGCCTGGCGCACCCATCCCAGTTCCCAGAGCTCTTCCCGGAGGCGGAGGAGCCGCCCGCGGCGCCTGCGCCGAGCGCCCTGGACGCGGCCGGCCTCCCCTTCGAAGTGCGCGCCGCGGCCCGCGCCTCGCTGGCGGCGGTGCGCGGCCTCGCGGGGCCCGAGGAGGGCGGCGGCAAGGGCAAAGGTCAGCGGGCGAAGGAACGGAGGATTGCAAAAAAAACCAGGATTGCAAATCGGTTTTTTGCAATCCTTCGGTTGTTTTTTTGCAATCCTTCGGTTTTTTGCAAATCGTTTTTTTGCAATCCAGGTTTTTGTTGCAATCCTTCGGTTTTTTTGCAATCGTTTTTTTGCAAGGCTTCCCAGATGGGGTCGGAGTGGATGGGGTCGGAGGGTCGCGCCGCATCGGCGATGCGTCGACGGTGCAGCTCGATGCGGAGCCCAATTTTCTCCCCGACGACGTCGCCGATGCGTCGCCGACGTCGGCGATGCATCGCCGATGCGTCGCCGATGCACTGGCGATCTGGCGCGATCCTCCGACCCCATCTACTCGGACCCCACCTAGGAGGCTTCTAGGCATAGATCGAAGAAACGGCATGAACAGAGAAGCTTTCGGAGCTCCTCGCAGATCTCTTGGGTCTACGCTGGGTCCTCCTTGGCGGCGCCTCCGGCGCCGCCCCTGGCGCGCGCAGCGCGCCACGGGGAGGAGGGTCAGCGCAGATCCAAGAAATCCGCGGGGACCTCCAAAAGTTTATCCTTATAATGTCTATTCTTCCCATAGTGTCACAAAAATTGCCCCGCCATCGGGGACGCCTGCCCCAGAGCGGCTCAGGGTCCATGTCGATCCGATCGATCGATCCGATGCGATGTCGGTTTCGGCAGGCTCGATTCGATTCGATCCCGACATGCCGGCGATCCGATGCGGCCCGACGCGCTTGCATGGCGCCGTTGTGCAAATGGCTGCGGCCGATCCGATCCGATTCCGACCCCGCGCCGACGCGGCCCGATGCGATGCGCGCTCCGGTCCGATCCGGTGTATCGATTCGACGTTGACTGATCTTGCAACTGGGAGGTTTCGACCCGTCCGGTGGCAGGTGGGGGTCTGAGCTTTCCAGCCGCCCTGGGGCGGGCGTCCCTACCGAGGGAAAGGCCGCGGCAAGGGCCAGGGCAAGGGCCAGGGCCGTGACGGAGCGGGGGCCGACGAGGGGGACGGCGGTCGCCTCTTCAACGGCACCATGTCACTTCGCAACTGGGGCGCGGTGCCTGTGACGCCCCGGAACTTCGTGCGGCTGCTGCAGCAGGGCGAGGCGGTGCTCCTCTTCCCCGGCGGCGCGGCGGAGGCGCTGGCCGCGCCGCGCGACAAGTATCCAGCTGCCTGCGGCAAGTCCCGCCACACGTGCCAGCCCAGCATTCTGGATGCGGCGGCGAGCGAGGGGGGGAAGTGAGAAGGAGAAGACCTTCTCAGAAGACGGCGGGACTTCTCAGAAGCCCTCGCGCCTTCTGACAAGTGTTTGTTGTGTTTTCGGGGACGGCTTAGACAACTTCTCAGAAGGCCGGGGAACTTCCGAGCCGTCTGAGAAGGCCCGCCCCTTCTCACTTCCCCCCCCGCTGGGCGCGACGCTTATTCTTGATGGCGGCTGCTCGAGGGGTTCAGGCCTCGGGAGAGGGGGCGATGCATGCAGGCCAGTGCGAGCAGAGGGGGGGGAGGGCCTTGGAGGATGACAGGAAATCCTACCAGACAGTACTTGGCATCCTTAGCACCTTGCGCCCCCAAACGTACCAGGAAGCACGGTGGCGGACCTGCTGCAGTGGCCCGAGAAGACCGACTTCGTGCGCGCCGCCGCGAAGTACAACGCGGTGGTGGTGCCCTTCGGCGGGGTGGGCTGCGCGGACAGCCTCCAGGACGTGCCGAGCAACTGGGGGCCGCTGGAGCCCGTGCGCTCGCTGCTCGCCGAGAGGGAGGCCGAGGCGGCGGAGAAGGAGATTGTGAGATCGTGCATGTGTCACGCGGGTATATGCACCACTCGCCACCGTTTGACCTCTAGGGGCCCCTTTTTTGCCACTGCGCTAAAACGCATCATAATCACAGAGATCGAAGGTCGGAGGTTCGCGCGGATCTCTTGGACCGGCGCTGGGCCGGCCCCCCCCCACCTGGCGGCGCCTCCGCCGCCGCCCCTGGCGCGCTGCACGCGCCGGGCAGGGGGGCCCAACGCCAGTCCAAGAGAGCCGCGCGGACCTCCGAAGCGTTGCAGTCAAGACGCGTAGACAAGAACCGCCTTGGGCTCAGGAGGGGCTCTGGTTTCCCGGCCGCTGCTCAGAGCTGAGTCGGGGAACTTGTTCGTGGCCGAAGTTACCAGAAAAGTCCCTTCGTTACGGTGGGGGCTTTGGTTACATAACGCTGTGCCCAGGAGGCCTCAGATCTTGGATGATTCTTGATCTGATGGGGACGGCGGTGCTATCCGTGGCCACTCCACGACTGGAGTTCCACTTGTTGCCAGATCCTGGGTTCCTCATCCAATGGTTCCTAATCCAATGCCCTCATCGCATGCGATCGCGATGGCTGTATGTTCACGACGCTGTTCTTCTTCCTCTTCTGCAGGAGAGGGAGCGACTGTCGCAGCTCTGGGTCGGCGTCGGGGAAACCATCCGTGGCCGAAGCTCGCCGTGGCGGGAGAACCCCGTTCGTTCCTCATTCGGTATTCGTGATGGAAGCACGATGGGTGTATGTTGACGGCGTCTTTCCCTTTCTCCAGGAGAGGGAGCGGCTGTCGCAGAGACAGAGCCTCGGCGGTCCCGAGTCTTCCAGGCTGGGGATGCGGCCTCAAGGATCCCAGGCCCCCTCCAAACTGGTGTCAGAGTAGATTGGGTCGGAGGATCGATGCGTCGACGACGGGGCTCGATACCCAGACCCCCTCGGGTCGCAAGATAATCACGACGGGTTGTATTACAATTTTCGGCCATGGAGGGCGGCGTTCGCCAGGCCCCGGGACGGCCAAAAACGACTCAGGATGAAAAATTGGTCCCAGGGAATGGGTCGAGACCTCGAGGGGGTCCACGTCATGAAAAAATCATGACGTCGGAGGTCTAAATGTGGAAGCCGATTTTCTCCACGTCGACGTCGCCGATGCATCGCCGACGTCGCGGATGCGGCGCGATCTTCTGACCCAACATTGGGGCCGCATTTGTTTGGAGGCCTTTAGAGGAGCGCTCCCGCAGACGAAGTTTTCCACGCAGGCGTCCGCTGGACTGGGTGACCGCTGGTACTTCAGCTTCGGGCGCCCCGTAGACCTGAAGGACCTGGACCCGCAGGACGCAGACGGTTGCGCCAAGGCGTACTCGGACCTCAAAGCTTCTGTAGAGGGCGAGATGGCGTGGCTCCTAAAGGCCCGCACGAAGGATCCCTATCGCGACGTCTTGCGCCGCCAGGTCTACGAGAGGATCGCCAATGCTGGCGACGGGGGGGCGCCAAAGAGAATAAAGGCGGGGCCTAACAAGGGTGGTATCGTCCAGAGCTACGGGCAGCGAGCACCGAGCTTCCGGCTAGAGGAGGTGGCGTGAGCTGCGGGAGCCACCACCTCCTCTTGCAGCCCTGCGCCCACACCCGCCGACCGCGCCCCCAGAATCGGCGGCTCGCCCTGGGGGGGAGGCAGGGGGGGCGGGCCTCCTCAGAAGGCTCGGCAGGCCTCCAGCCTCCTGGGAGGCGTTCTGAGCCTTCTCCGAGGCTCAGATGGCCAGGAGGGCTTCCGAGAAGCCCCACCGCCGTCTGAGAAGGCCTGCCCCCCCTCGCTTCCCCCCTCGGCGCGCCGCCGACGGGTGGCCAAACGATTGCGCAAGCATGAACATTTTGGAGGTCCGCGCGGATCTCACGGGGAGGTCGCCTCCGCGCACCCCTGGACGCCGCCTCTGGGGCGGCGCCCCCCGCGCCAGCTGGCAAGGCCACTCTTGCCCAGGGCCGCTCTCACGTGTGGCCGACCAGAGACGCGCGGACCCCAGAACGTTTTCTCTGTCTGTGTGTGCAGTTTTTTGGCGGGGGTGGGGGGGCGTTCTGCTGCAGCCTACAGATCTAGTTCAGAGGACGGCGAATTGAGACAACGGCAGGTGGCCTTCGGGGTGGGGTGGGGGCCCTCGTCACCACGGCTGGACGCAGCTCGGAACACCGGCACGTCTAGGTCACCCGCGGGAGCGCGAAGGTGGTCGCGCTGCGCGCGCCGCGGCTCGGGCACGAGAGGCGCCGTCCTCCAGGGCGGCGGCGCGAGGGTGCGAAGAGAACCGCGCGTCGCGCATCGCGTGGGCGCGATGTGCGAAATGTGAGTGGCATGGGTACTCTTCGGGCCCCGGGAGGGGTCCAGGGACCGATTTGGGGCTGCGCTTGTCTCGGCTCGCCTTGCTCCGAGCAGTGCCCCCACCTGCCGACTGAGTTGTTCCTCCTCTCTGGCAGTTTTTCGAGCCGCCGGGCGCTCAACCCAGGCGTGCCTGTGCTCGACGAACGCAAAGCGGCATACACAGAAGTTATCTGGGATGAGCCTATACACATCACACACATGCACACATGCATACAGACAGACAGGCAGGCAGACATGCATACTACAGACAGACATAATGCATGTATGCATGTATGCATACATCCATACATGGTTACATATCTACAGACATGTTTGCATGCATACATGTATGCGTACCTACATACATACATACATACACACATACACACATACTTACTTACCTACTTGCATACAGACAGATAGACAGACAGACAGACAGACAGACAGACAGACAGACAGACAGACAGACAGGCAGGCAGGCAGGCAGGCAGACAGACAGACAGACAGAAAGACAGACAGACAGACAGACAGACAGACAGGCAGACATAGACACATACTCATACAGATAGAGAACAAGCACAACATTTGTGCCTAAAGAACGAAGGCAACAACATTATAAACAGTGTTATACACAGCAGTAAAACGACAAAGTCTCGGAGGTCCGCGCGGATTTCTTGGGTCGGCGCTATGCCCCCCCTGGCGGCGCCTCCGGCGCCGCCCCTGGCGCGATCCGCGCGCCAGGTAGGGGGGGGGGCCCAGCGCCGATCCAAGAAGTCCGCGCGGACTTCCGAGACATCGTGCGTATGCCGTGTTTTGTTCCTCGACGTGTTTTTCGGGCGCCGCGGGGTCCCCCGCCCGGGGGGGCACCTCCCCGAGCTCGCGCAGCGGGGCTTCCCAGAGCCCCGCCCCGCCCTGGACGGCAGCGTCCTCCTTGTTGTTCGGGGCGGGTCTTTTTCGATCTGTGGCCCGCCCCGGTGGCTCGGAGGGGCTCGATGCATACACCACGTCATTTGGCCAGCCAGTGAGGCAGGGGATGCGAGGAATGAGCTCGGTGTGTAGACGCTCCATCCCGCCACAGGGTTGGGAAGCTGGGGCGTCTGTTCACCGAGCTCCTCGGCCGACCAAGCGTCGCGGCGTTTTCACCGAGTCCCTCCCAGTGTCGACCACGGGGTGCCTGCGGCGAGGCGAGGGGGCGGGGGGGGGGCCGCCGCCATGGGCAACGAGAGAGTCGTGAGCCGCTCTCGGCCTCCCGCGGCCCAGGACGGGCCCCGGGGATCGTCAGCGAGGGGGGGGCGTGATGAAAACGTCGATGATCCTCAGGACGCGTGTTAGCCCAAAACGTATGTCCGTTCAGCTCTACCGACAGCACGCAGCTTGCGCCTGTCCTCACTGCATCGCCTGTGTCGTACTGAAGGCATTCGGTGGGCAAGCGCACGTTGGCGCTGACACACGCTCTGAGGATCATCGAGAAACAGTTCCAGGGGCAGCCCTGCGATCCAGGACCGTTTCACCAAGGATTCTTGCTTTTCACGCCACCACCCCAAGGATCGAATGATCATCACTACAGAGCAAGCAGAAAAATTCGAAGGTCCCCGCGTGTGTCTTGGATCTGCGCTGGACCCAGACCTTCCAGGTGGCTCGTCTGGCGCTGCTCCTGCGCACCGCGCGCCAGGGAGGGGGGCCAAGCGCCGAACCAAGAAGTCCGCGTGGACCGTCGAAAGTTTATGTTCATGCTCATGCCCGCTTTTTGAACGACAGACCACATCCCAGAGGGGATCGGCCCCTCTGAGCCCGCGCCCCCGACGCCTCCCGGGAGGCGGGGCGGGGCCCTTTCCGGACGGCCGCCCCCCCTCGTCCTATCTCCGGAGGCTCTCCAAGCCCCCGTGCCGCCGCGCGCGCTCGCGCGCGCGCGTGCTGCGCACAGGTCGGCCAAAGGCCAGGGCTGGTAGCACAGACCGAGGGTTGCTGGACGACGCCTGGCCTTAGCGAGCGGTCCCCTGAGGCCCCTCTTCCTCCTACTCCTCCTCTCCTCCGCGTCCTCCTCCTCCTCCTTCGCCTCCAGCCGTTCTGGCACAGGCAGGATGGAGTGGCGTTCGAGAACTACGGGTCCAGGACGTCCTGCTACAAGTGCGGCAAGCAGGCCCCGCGTCATGTGCTGGAGACCAAGAAGGAGTGGAACAGCTGGCCCTGGAGGGAGGGCAGCGGAGGTGCCAAGCCAGAGAGGCCAAACCGCTGGGTTGCTGGCCCGCCATCCCTTTGGCGGGGCTCGCAACTCCAGGGGAAGGCACCTGCGATTCGTCCCGACGCTGCTCCCGTCGAGGATGCCAAGATCGTCGAGAGCGACCCCGCCACTGCCGCAACCATGTTGCAGAGCATGGCCAAGGCGCACGGCGAGGACAGAGCGAATTGGCCCGAGGGAATCAAGGGCTTGGTGGTCATCTGGGACAAGGCGGTGCAGCAGTCCGAGGCAAAGGACGAGGAGGCGCCCCAGCAGCCCGACTACGACAACATGTCCTCCCTCCAGTTGGGCCAGCGCCTGCAGGGCGTCAACCCGAGGCTTGAGAAGGCCAAGGAGCGCTTGCAATAGCGCAACCGGGAGCTGCAGGACGCCACTGCAGCTCGAGATGCAGAATAGGAGATCGTCCGCAACTACGAGAACAGGAAGCATAATATCAAAGCAGTTCAGGCTGCGGCTTTCATGCGTGATACCGCCGAGGGAGGACGCGCAGGAGCTGGACATCCCGCTGTCGCCCTGCGTGGGCAGGTGGCCAGTCTGCAGAAGCGCTTGAGCAACACTGACCTCCCCGAGGAGCTGGAGGAGCCCTTCAAAGCTTTGCAGCAGGCGCTCGAGTCTCCCGAGAAGCAGCTGGCGGACCGCGAGCAGCAGCAGCAGAAGGAGCAGACGGCAGCTGAGCCTGCTGGGCGCCCCGCTGATGCTGATGGTGATGTACATATGGCTGCTGATGCCCCCGTGCCAGATGAGGGCGACCCTCAAGATGTCTTCAATCAGGTCGGCCTCAAGCTGGAAGGGAATGAGTCAGACGAGGAGCGGCAGAGGATCAAGGCTGCCCGCGCCCGCATGCTCGAGCCCACGGCTGCCGCCAACGCTACCGCCATGGCCAAGCGGAGGGAAACGCAGCCCCCAGCTCCTGGACAAGACTCAGCAGAGAAGAAGTGATCTGGCTGGAAATGCACATGGAGACTGGGGGCTACTACTGCAAGCACTATAACAGTTACACCGCTCGGTGGATTGGGCTTTGGATGGCACTGAGCAGCCAGCGCGACAGCCACGCGACACAGCGGGCGGCAGTGGAAGGCTCGGGATGGATTCCGCTAGGCAGTTTCACGATGCAGTGGAACAATTTTTGCACAGGCGCAGGCGCTTGGGATTGGGCTCTGGTTCAGTTACCAGTGGTAGCGCTGAACCCTCTGGTCTGGCTGCCGACGGGCAGGTGGTCGATGCCCAGACTGGAGGCGATCCACCCCGCGGGTCTTCCGACGGGAAGCTTGCCCCCACAGGGGGGCACAGAGGAAGCACTACCACACGCGCACGACGGGCACTTTCTTGCGGCGGCGTTGAACCCTCTGGTCTGGCTGTCGACGGGCAGGCGGTCGATGCCCAGACTGCAGGCGGTCCGCCCTGGGGGGCCACCGACGGGCGGGCAGCCCCCCCCCCCCCCCCTCCCCAGGGGAGCGCAGTGGAGGCACCACCGCACATGCACAACGAGAGCAACGGCTTCAGGACGGAGACGCGCGACACGAACGGGCGTGGACATTTGTCGCGGCGAACATCACAGCCGCGCAAAAAAAGCGGCGAAGATGACGACGGTGGCCGCGCATATCACGGAAATGCACCCCAATGCGGATGGCATTCTGTCTCGAGAGCATAAGATTCTCAAGCCAGGTATAGGCGATGCGCGACTCAGGCTTGCGACATGGGGAAGGGCGCGCGGCCAGTTCTGGAGCGGCAGTTGGAATACGCCAATATATTGCATCAGCTATACCGCCAGACCTTGGGGGCGTGACAGTACCACAGTGGCGATGGGCCACGCAGTGGGTCGATGGCATGCTGCCCGGCGGTTTCGCATTTGGTTCCATGCATTTGATTTCGGGGCACAAAGTAAGGGAATACGAGGATGCGAACAAAATCTGGGTTTTACTGGTCTTGGAGCAACTTCAGAGTGTGGGACGCCCCTTCATCATCGGAGGTGACTGGAACATGACACCAGAGGAGCTGAATGCTTTGAATATCTCACCACGGGCACCTGCGATGATAGCGGCGCCTACACAAAGGACATGTGCATGCGGCGAAGGCAGGACCCTTGATTACTTCGTTGTCAGTAAGCACTTCAAGGATCTCATCACAAGTGTCAGCAGGATTGAGGGGCTCTCGATTGCCACGCGCTGGGGGGGGGGGGGGGGGGGGGGGGGGGGCAATGCGAGTTGGGCCAGGAGCAGCCTTGGAGCTGCAGCTGAAGATCCCCAAGAAGTTCCCGAAGATATGCCCGATGGGGGCAGCGCCGCCCCCGCCCTCGCACCAGCACGCCCTGTCTGAGCGCGATTACGTACAAGACAAAGAAAATGTACACTGGTGTTGTGCCAAACGGCACCGGTTGGCAGATCAAGTCCCAACGGTTTCAACTGGAAGATCGGCACAGCAGAGCATGTCAAGGACGAGCGCAGACAGCATCGCCAGTGTACACGTTAGTGGCTTCGGTACGCAAGGCGCCAGGGAGGTCACCACAGGGTAACCCGACATCAAGAGTTTGGCGGAGGGCCGCAATGGTCATGGTGGATTGCTGCACGCTCTCAAACACAATTGGACACGAGACTGCAAGTTCATCGAAGACAGGCTCAACGCGATGAGAAATCTACAGAACAGAAATCGACATGGGTGAGCAATGGGACACCTGGTGCTACCGATACGAGCACGAGGTCAACTGGGAGGAGGAATGGCTACGACGTGCTAGTTGGAGTGCGGCCCAAGAGGCCACTCGCATCGAGGTGAAGTTCGCACATGACAGGGTCAAGCAGTGGCGGGAGCTCACAGTGGACGCCATCGAGAAAGGCGAAAAGCAGGCACACAGATGGTCCAAGCTACCCGCCATGTGGACGCAGGCGGACATTCACCCAACGGCAGGCGTGCAGTCGCATGCTGCACGACTCCAGGCAGACTTGGAAGAGTGGAAGCGTGTTTGCAGGCATCAAGAGGGCAAGCGCAGTTGTGGTACAGGATTACAGTTGCACACTTCGGATCAGGACGTGCATATTCTAGACATAGACCACATGGGGCAAGTTGCTTCTACGTTCAAGGCAAGCACGGCATCAGGCATAGACAACCTCGGCCCGAGGAATGTCGCCCTCCTTTCCGATGGCGCACTCTCAAGTTTCTCAACCATCATGCAGAGGGCAGAGATCATCGGGGAGTTGCCACCTCAGCTGACCAACAACGCCATTTCCAGGCTGCCGAAACCTGAAGGTGGACATCGTATGATTGGGCTGCTATTTGATCTTTTACGAGTCTACAACAAGTGCCACAAGCACGACAGGCAGGACTGGCTCAACCACCTTGTGAAGAGTTACCACTGCGGTGGCAGGGCGTAGCTCAGAGCAGGCGGTGCGGACACAATCGCTACTTGCAGAGGCTGGGCTGGCTCTCAAGCGACATACTGCTACGGTCATGCTCGACTTAAAGAAAGCTTGCGAACATATTCCACATGCGACGTTATGGGCAACGGGGTGCAGGCGTGGATTCAAGCGACCACGGCTGGCGCGACTTCTCAAGTCGTATGCACGAGGACGTGTGCTACGGTATGGTAACATGGTTTCAGATGTGGTGAAGACCAATCATGGAGTGATCTCTGGCTGTGCCTTTGCCATCACAATGATGATGTTGTTCACGCTGGGTGCTTACGAGCAGGTCTACACACTGTGGCCCTCGCTAAGTCATACACAGGTGGTGGATGATGGAAGCCTGCAGGCCATTGGAACGCACGAGCAAGAACTACAGGTCATCATACACCCAACTCGAGAAGTACATAGAGGTTGCGCTTAAGCAGCACAAGTTCGGCCATGATCGTACATTACGAAGAGGAGCTGGTGGAGCGGTGCAGCAAGCTAGAGTGACGGCTACGTCCCGAAGGATTTCGAGATACCGACGGCTGGCACAAGGTGGAAGGCAGGTGGGACGATTATTTCGTGGAGGAGGCCTGGCATCGGTAATTTACACTGTGAAGGTGAAGGGTATGTCTGATACGCAGCTGAAGCCACTGCGAGCCATTGCAGTCCTGCCTTAGTTGGTACGGCGCGAGGACGGCGCAGGACCATGGAGTTTCAGTTGTCGCACTGTCCCAGAGCAGACCCCACGTTCGCTGCGGATGAATATCCATTGGTATGTTGGCTCAGAGCGCGGCATGGGAGATGGGTCAAACACAGGGCCATGGCTTTGGCGTTTATGCAAGCGCAGAATCAGCTGAAGACGTGGAGAGGTGCACGAGGGAGCTGCTGGAGCAGTGGTAATGATTCTAGAAAGGCTCAGTTGGACGGCGACTTCGCGGGACTGTTGGATTACCGAGCGTGGGGCCAACTTGAATCTACCTGACATAGGACCTGCTACGCTGAAACGCATCGTGAGTCAGGCCACTCAACAACGACTTCTACGAGAAGTACCACAGTCTCGAGGCATGGAAGGCCTAGCCGGGCCCCCACTGCTGGAGCCAGCAAAGAAGTGCATCAGCACGCTGCGGCAGCAGGAGGACTACACAGGTGCTGGACTAATGCGGACATGGTTGGCTGGTGGGTTCTACTGTCAAGAGCGGCTACATCAGGTACGAGCAGTACAAAGCCCACTCTGTGCCATGTGTGGCGTGGAAGCTGGCACAGATACCCACCGCATTTCCAGGCGTGACTGGCGCGCGCTGGAGCGGCACAATTGGACTGGTGAGGAGCGTATTCTACTGACGTGGGGACGTACAGGGCACGGGCAAGGGCATCCCACCACGATGATGACTACCAAAGGGCCCATGCCGGATCCGATTTTCTATGCGCCGTTGCCAACCTTCGATG